ATTCTCCGCTTATGTTTTTGCTGCGATAGTTCTGGTAGTTTCTGTGTGGAAATAACACGATATTAAAAGTGAATAATGACAGACGGCACGGGTAATGATGACACCACCGTTTTCAACACAATATCTGGTGAGTTTATTCGTTCACATTGATTTCATGGTTTTGACACCGGTCATGTGAGGTTAGATGTCTCGAAGCATAATGGTTTTCTCACACAAAAGGATTTCGTGAAACCGTTTAAAATGAATTAATTCGGCGGTCGTACGTTATGAAAACGTTACGTTCGTGAAACATGGGTAGCTAAGAATATTTTATGCTTGAAGTACTATTCAAAACCTGTAGAGGTGACCTTACAATTGCGAATATTTAACTCTTCCCATATATACCACGCGGTCGTGAGCTGTAGATCGTTTTTTCGTATACATTTATATATACAGACATATTATGTACATACATACAAGTGAAATAATCTACGGATTTCGATTGAGTGTGAAAAATGAAATAATTTTTCGGGTGTAAACTGTAATTTACAGATTCATCCAAGACGGAAACATATACAGCGGGCCCTCTCGTTCTATACTCGACGGCGCAAGCATGGGCAGCTCAGTTTCATCGCAGCATCACACAGTCTTACAGGATATCTGAGTCATCGGACGATGAAGATCTTTCCCAGTATCAGTTTGAAGATGACCTCGAGTACCTGAGGTCCTTGGACCCAAAGGAGTGGAAAGAGCAAGACCATTATGCTGTCTTGGGCTTGAAAAAGCTCAGGCACAAAGCGACCGAAGATGTTATAAAAAGGGCTTGTACGTAAAGAAAGTTCAAAGTATACTCTGTAACAGAATGTAGGTGTTATGTCGTGCACTGTCTTGCGTGATGCTATGATAAACGCGGTTCAGGAGTATTGGATGCATGAATTACAGATAAGCAGAAAATCCTCAAACATCATCCCGATAAACGTAAGGCGCTGGGAGAGGAAATCCGGCCGGACGACGATTATTTCACCTGTATCACACGGGCATGGGAAACGCTGGGTAATCAGGCGAAGAGGAGAAGTTACGACAGTGTAGATCCTTACTTTAACGACGATTTGCCGGAGGAGAAAGACTGTAAAAATAATTTCTACGTGCTGATGGGTAAATCGTTTAAGGAGAACGCCAGGTGGTCCGTGAAACAACCTGTGCCTCGCTTAGGTGGGCCAGATATGCCCAGAACCAAAGTGGAGAAATTTTATTCGTTCTGGTACGATTTCGACTCGTGGCGCGAATACTCTTACCTGGACGAGGAAGACAAGGAGAGCGGTCAGGAGTAAGTATATGCTTTTTGTGTTCGTTTGAAATGAAACTTTTAATCGATTATGCTTGCACAAATTTCAATCGGGTACTGTTTCTTTTTTTTGTCAGTCGTGATATGCGTAAATGGATCGAGAAGAAGAACAAAGCGACGCGGGCAAAACGGAAGAAAGAAGAAATGGCGCGTATACGTACCTTGGTCGATATGGCGTACAACCTGGATCCTCGAATAAAGAAGTTTC